CTCATGAGAGATGCGATGTGAGACGCAGCAGCGTGCACAAGAGCTGTCCATGCCAACCTGCTCCGTCTCCCGCGTGTCGCAAGGAAAGAACGTGCTCGTGGGCGCTCGCCGCAGCCCCAGTCATGCGCAGCGACCCAACTGGTTTGAGCCCAGCGTGGAGACAGCGGTCCTGGTTCCCAGCTGCTGTGTACGGGTACCACCTGCGAGCCAAGGTGGCCGTTTCCCTTTGGGCGTGAGTCATCGTCCGGCGGAGCGCGATGAGCGGGTGTTGTCCCCTGACCTGCGACTCGGTGCCCTCGAGAGGAGTCATTTCCCCTCTGTTCCCCAGCAGCAAAGCGGAGCCAGCTCTGCTCGCCGCTTCTCTTACGTATTTTCAGACCTGTCACAGAAAGGGGCAATTTATGCTGGATATTGTCCTCACGGGTCGTTGGCCAAGTGCTGTGTGTGTTGATGATGCCATAAAAGGGCAGCGGAACACGCACTTAAACGCAACATACTTTGTGTTTAAAACTCTTGCGATGGGCCAAGGCTTTGTATCAGCGAAACCTTGGACTCGCTTTCCTGCTTGACGCTAAAAACCTGCGGAAGCGTTCGGCTCGGCGTGCTGAGGGAAGAGGGCAGGCTGGGGGCTGCTCCCTGCGCAGGGAAAGCAGCAGCATCGTGGCTTTCGACGCAAAGGTAACGCCGCAGGCTCATCAGGAAGCCACGTCCCTGGCCAGCTTTGCTGCAGTCAGCACTTTTTGGGGCCTGAGATACGAGAAATGCCTGCGAGGGTCTTGTCGTCTTCATCTCGCCCTGGGGAGCGTAACGTGGAGATCAAGCCGCCTTCTCCTGAGCTGTCGGGCAGTACTCGACGTTTTCAGCTATGCAGATCCTGCCCCTTCTTGGGAGCCTATTGCCATTCTCTAGAAATAAAGAAACCAACAGCAGGGAAATGAGGCAGACTCATCAGATGGTTTGGGCTTTTCCACAGAATTTGAACAAGTTACCACATCTCTTTGTGCTTTAGTTTCCCAAGCACAAGGGGAGAGGCAATTCTTGACCTATATCCGGACAAAGTTAATGTTTTAAAAGCTTACTGATCTTTTAATAAAAGAAATAAAGAGCAATATAGCACTAACAGGTGTAATTAAAGCCTTTAGACCTACAGATACCAATTGATGTGCCTGAGCATGTGCAGGTCGATAACGGGCTGTTTATCTGGGAAAGCAGGCACGAGCACTGGGGGTAACACAGGCAAAGGTGGGGAGCCTGTGGCCATTTCCAGGTCACCCCCAGCGCTGGGCGAGTGGGAGAGCAACGCTGCCCACAGCCAGGAATGGCAGCTTGAGCTGTGCCTGCGGGAGCAGCCTGGGGAGTCCGGGAAATGTGGGTTCTGCTTCATCACCCTGAGTGAGAACTCGTGTCTTCTCTCCGTTCTTCTACCTGTTTCACCACTGCCTGTTCCTGGGGGGTCTTAGGCCGAGGGACGGCCCCACGTGGGGTCTCGCACTGAGGGAGGGCTCCTTGCAAGGGTCTCATGCTGAGGGATGGCCCCTCATGGGGTCTCGCACTGAGGGATGCTTGCGGGGTCTCACGCCCAGGGATGGCCCCTTGCGGGGTCTCACACCCAGGGATGGCCCCTTGGGGGGGTCTCACATCCAGGGATGGCTCCTCTGGGGGTCTCACGCCCAGAGATGGCCCCTTGCGGGGTCTCACACCCAAGGATGGCCTCTTGGGGGGGTCTCACACTGAGGGATGGCTCCTCTTGGGGTCTCACACCCAGGGATGGCCCCTTGGGGGATCTCATGCCCACGGATGGCTCCTCACAGCGTCTCATGCCCAGGGATGGCCCCTCGTGGGGTCTCACACCCAGGGATGGCCCCTTGGGGGATCTCATGCCCACGGATGGCTCCTCACAGCGTCTCATGCCCAGGGATGGCCCCTCGTGGGGTCTCACACCCAGGGATGGCCCCTTGGGTGATCTCATGCCCACGGATGGCTCCTCACAGCGTCTCATGCCCAGGGATGGCCCCTCGTGGGGTCTCACACCCAGGGATGGCCCCTTGGGTGATCTCATGCCCACGGATGGCTCCTCACAGCGTCTCATGCCCAGGGATGGCCCCTCGTGGGGTCTCACACCCAGGGATGGCCCCTTGGGTGATCTCATGCCCACGGATGGCTCCTCACAGCGTCTCATGCCCAGGGATGGCCCCTCGTGGGGTCTCACACCCAGGGATGGCCCCTTGGGTGATCTCATGCCCACGGATGGCTCCTCACAGCGTCTCATGCCCAGGGATGGCCCCTCGTGGGGTCTCACACCCAGGGATGGCCCCTTGGGTGATCTCATGCCCACGGATGGCTCCTCACAGCGTCTCATGCCCAGGGATGGCCCCTCGTGGGGTCTCACACCCAGGGATGGCCCCTTGGGTGATCTCATGCCCACGGATGGCTCCTCACAGCGTCTCATGCCCAGGGATGGCCCCTCGTGGGGTCTCACACCCAGGGATGGCCCCTTGGGTGATCTCATGCCCACGGATGGCTCCTCACAGCGTCTCATGCCCAGGGATGGCCCCTCGTGGGGTCTCACACCCAGGGATGGCCCCTTGGGTGATCTCATGCCCACGGATGGCTCCTCACAGCGTCTCATGCCCAGGGATGGCCCCTCGTGGGGTCTCACACCCAGGGATGGCCCCTTGGGTGATCTCATGCCCACGGATGGCTCCTCACAGCGTCTCATGCCCAGGGATGGCCCCTCGTGGGGTCTCACACCCAGGGATGGCCCCTCGACAGACAAGCCATCCACCCGTCCCAGAAGCCTTCCCAGGGACGCCCGTTACCGATTTCCTCCTCTCTTCTACCCCGCGTGTCTGCGTCCCCAGAACGAGCCGTGTCTTTGCTGTCTCTTCTCTTTCTGTGCTGGATGTGCAACAAGTGAGAAGGCCCAAACGAAGGGCGAATGAAACGCTCTGCCTGGTGCCCAGCTCAGCTGGGCAGGGACCAGAGCCCGCTGCTGAAAACCTGGCAGCTGTTGTTAGGTGCTGCTGGTGAG